AGTAAAATATTATTTATATAAACGTGAATTATTAATGTGTATCTTAATGTATTATAAATATTTTATCACTGTCACTAAAAGAGGAGTACTAATGCTTAAACTTGTCATAAGATATACTGTTTTTTCTATAAATTAATCGTATCAAATAAATAATATTAATGCTAAATAATAAACATCACGACATAATGAGGTTTTTTTTCAGTGTTCTGTTACATGTGGCGTTGGGATAGTGAGACGCATGGTGCGGTGTAATGTTCCAGACGAATCTGCATGTGCATTGATCGCGAAACCTCTCGAAGAAGAAAAATGCACTTTACACCCATGTCCAGCAGGCGTAGACGACGAGATACACGAAAATGAAATTCTGAGTAACGGTGGTGCACATGGCACAAACTTTATACAGAGCAACAAGTTTTATACATGGCGCACAGACCACTGGTCAAGTGTAAGTTACCATAAACTTTAATGGTGACCCTATAAAATTTATTAAAATAAAATTATACATTGTTTACCACTGTACAAAATAGAAATGTAACTACATTGACGACACCTTAACGATATATATATTATTACAATAATGTGTGTATTATATTATTACATGTTTGTACGTTAATTATTTTACTTTCAGTGTTCGGCGTCCTGCGGTAACGGTTACAGGAGGCGAACCATAGACTGTATAAATACGATCAGCGCCAAGCCAGTTTCGTGGAACCTTTGCAAGTCAAAGAACCAACCGAAACGCGTCGAAGTGTGTATCGCTCCGATGTGCGTCACGTGGCGGGCCGACGAATGGAAAGAATGCTCGGCCGAATGTGGAAAAGTATATTATGACAACAATTTAAACATTTTCGTGTTCTCATATGAGAGCGCGAATAAATATTTTAGTGTCATAGTATTTTATTTAAGCTTGAATCGTAATTTTTAGGGTTTTGAGGAGCGCGAGGTGACCTGTGTGTCTTCCGTCAGTGGTAAACTCGTGGACGAAACCCACTGCGTGGTGCACAGAGAAAAACCCGAAGCCCGAAGGTTGTGCGAGAGCCACAAAAGCTGTAAGCCGATGTCGACTTGGAGAACGGGATCGTGGGGAGAAGTAAGCAATTGCCAGCAATTATTATAAACGATTGAATATATAACAACTTGCGAGCCCAATTACAAATTTGTTCCTACGCCATAATATTCCGTGCCTACTGTGTTTTCTTTTCGAAACGTTTGTTTGGACAAGCCCAATAATATTACACAATACTTCGGTTCCAGTGTTCAGAAGTGTGCGGAGGTGGCATAAAAGAAAGGAAAGTGGTATGTCAACCATTCGACGGGACAAGAGAACTATTTGATGAAGAAATGTGCGTGGAACCCAAACCGTCGTCTTCAATTCCGTGTAACGAACATCCGTGTAAAAGTCAACCGTCGTACGTGACGATAGCTTGGAACTTCGGGGAGTGGTCGAAGGTAAAAATTAAAAATCATTTGAATTATTTAAGTTTACCTAATCATAGCATACGATTATGATTTTCACTTAAAATTGTTCAATTGTACACCGTATTAAAACAGTATTCTAAAATATAAATATTTTTTTTTTGTGAAGACACAAAAGTCGTCTTCTTTATTTATTTCTAAATCAATATGGAGCTTGATGCATCCAATAAATTAAAATAATTAAACTCAAATATAGAAGACTTGAGTTTGGTCGCATGAGTAGAGCTGAGGGTTATATCATGGGAATTCAATATTTTTCAATGACCATTCAAACCAAAGGTAACTGCTAAGTGATATTTGGTATAGAAATATGTTTCATAGAGACCAAGAACTTAGGTATAATAAATAATTTTATTTTTCATTAATAAGTGTATGTTTTTTATAATTGCATTTATATTATATTTTGAAATGTGTCGTTTTTTATTGTTTTTAAACCTAAACAATTCGTGCTATGCGACCCTAAAAGTTTTATTTAAATTTCAATAATACTATGGTATTATGATTCCCACGGTAATCTTATGAATAACAAGTTTATTGTAAAAATTATCATCTATCGATAACATTTTTTAACACAGTCTAAAATTTTAAATCTATTTTCATTTTTCTATTGTAATTTTAATCAATTTACTACACATAACTACTCAATTTTAAAATTTGCATATTTATTAATACAGACAGTGGTCGCCACTTATAAGACTCACTTTGGGACCAGACAATTTGAGTTAATTAACAAAATGAGTCAATAAAGCGAAAGGACTCAAAAAAAAAAAAATTAAAAATACGTACCTATTTACTTAAAAAATATTTATTGAGATTTGATCGATTATATAATTAAGTGTATAGTAATGAAAATAATGTAAGGGGATTTAATAGAAAAAATATTGTTTAAATAAAGATGAAGAAGTAAAATCCCCATTAACACTCATACAACGGTTAATAGGCGAATTTTTTTTGTTGTGTGTTAGTATACGTGCAAATCAGGATCAGCTGTTTTGAGGATAATAGGTGAAAGAGTCAATTAACAGCGATCCCAATAATCGGCGACCACTGTAAATACATTTTAGAATATTTAAGCAATTTTGGATATTTTAAGTTTCACAAAATCTTAACGTCAATAACCTACGTATTTTACATATTTTACCTATTTTATAAGTATTCTCTAATAGATTCAAAATAATTTTGAAAATATAGCAATTTTAATATTCCTAAGCCGTTATAACAAAAATACACAAAAAATATCGGTAAGACAGAATATGGCACGTTTATAATAAGTGATAAATATTATAGTTGACATAATATTATCTTTACAAGGTATTTTTTTATACTCTATTAATAATTAATAAATCATACTACGTGCTCAAATGTAGTTTGCCTATAATTGTATGCTATGGCCTATAGGTATATATTAAAGTACTTATATTATGTGCCTATTTGCGATTGTTTTTGGTCAATACTTTGCTGTTCGCTCAATTACTTTAATATTAACTTGCAAATTTGATGTACTTATAATTATAGTATAATAATAAGCAAACGAAATAATGAAAACATAGCGTATTATATGGTATAACTTAGTGATTTTGTATAGGTAAGGTTCTTAGGGTGTTAAACAATTATAACTTTTTTCTAATCATTTCCAGAAACAATAACAATTCTCTATTATTGAAAATAAAATTATGAATCTATACATATATATTATATATGTATGATTGGTATAGCTTTTTAGCTCATTTAAATAACAAGTTTTTTAAACATATAAATAAAAACATAAAATACATTCTAATGAAATAAATCTAAATCGTATTAAATTTATGTACTTAATGTTTTATAACGTTTGTCCAACAATTTCAAATAAATATATATTATTATGTATATCTATGTAGATTTTAGGTGTACTATAGTTTTTTTATTAAATAGCTTCAAATTCAAAACTATTACAGTGTTGGTAAGTATAATATAGTTACTTGAGCACAACATAGATTGCTTTTCTAACTAAACACGAAAACATCATAAAACACATTTATATGTAATAATATATAAAATATGTAAAATTATTCCAAGTGAAATGAAAACATTTAAAATAGAATTATAGTATGGTATTGGATTTGATTCTCGTTTGTTATAACTAAATGATTTCTAGTCGAAACTGATCTAGAACTTCCCATATAAAATCAGACACATACACAGTTTCTTTATTTTATGGGGGAGGGGGGGGGCTAACAATAATAATAAAATCAGCATAATCTAAGTCATAAACTGGAAATAATTTTAAGCTCAGTTAAATATACATATAAATCAAAAAATTTAGTGAAAAATCAATTTTAACACAGTCAACATCGTGTTATGATTGTGTCGTTAAGATAATGACTAGCCAGATAATTATAGAAGTGTCCATCGCTGTAGTTGTCACAACTACTAATAAAAAAAAACTAAAGGTGTTATGGCAAGTATAATTTAACACAGATAAAAAATTTAGTACTGAAAACATGTACAATTAGTTTTGGAGGGGACCCGTAATTAGGTATAACTTATGATACAGGTAATGTATCACATCATATCATTGATCTCAAAAGGTTGACATTTTATTATGAATTTGTTGTTTGGTAAACTAATTTTTCGATTCAATACCTACGAAAATATAGATGCATTTTATTAACGTTAAATAAAATATATCGGGTTTATAGTTAATCAAAATTCTTACAAGGTCACGTATGCCCACTAACCGATCTGAAGCTTTAAACCCACTCTAGGTACACACTGACCCCTTAATTGTATTAATCAAAAATGAATTCTTAAATCTATTTAAATAGTAGTAGTGGAACATTCTGGTGCTCGGCTAAAAAATAGCGAATGACACTTGACAAATTTGTTGTCCATACATATATGGACACTGCGAAACCCGACGAAACAACACGCTTTACATAGTTATATTAAAGTATATTATTACTATTTTGTACAGTGCTCACCAAAAATTTTCGTTGAGCCTCGTGGTGTGGTTTCAATTATAACTAGTAGAAAAAAATATGATAAATAGGTACCTGATACTAAATAGTGTAAAATATGTATTGTGAACCGAATCGTCTTACAGTATAATTATATATTCTAGTTATTAAATCATCATTAAAATTACTTTAGTTTATTTAAAATGGTTATACTGCTGACCCAAATAGAATATAATATATTGATATTACTTTAGTTAGTAGGTACCTGGTAGTGGCTGGTACACGCATGTTGTAGTAGTTTCATCACACAAACAGATAGAATGATGCTATGTTTATCCCTTTTTGATGTGTTTATTTGTGTTTAAATATTTTTTTGTAGAATAAAATAAATAGTTTAATGTAGTAAAAAAATTATCATTTGTGTATTTTTGATTGAAAAGTACTAATTTCGTTTCCACAAATGTTAATAAGACAGATTTAAATCAAAAAATACTCCATATTCATTTATCATACATTTCTAAAGATTCTTATATTTTCAAGAAGTCGCATTATAATCTCTAGAAAGTAGCAAACATAAAAGTCACATAATATTTAAAAAAAATTTATTAAAAAAAAAAGTCACAGTTTAAAATTGTAGGTTACTAAAATATAGTATAGGTACCAGTTAATGTGATAATGTTATTCGCCAGAAAATATGAAAGTCTGTTATCATAATAATTATTATCAAACCTTAGTAGGAATTTGTTACAATTCTAATTGATATTAACGTTAAGAGTTCAAAAATTTAATCGTTTCTTCCAAATTTAAATTCAATTTGTCAGAATAATAGTTACGTAATACAAAAATAAGGTACGGGCTCAGTTGTCGTATCCAAAAGAAACGTGGGACTTAACGAACTATATAATGTAATAAATAAATAATAATATAATTGTTGGCGACACGTTGTCGCATTACAAGTCATATCATCATTATTCGGGAAGGTCGAATTGCACTTATTTTTGTCGAATTGCAATCGGGACGGAAAAAGGCAATGTTCAAATATATTACACTTGAGTTTATAAAAGGATATGTTTGAATTGCACTAACTCCAATATTTACAATGTAAAACGAATTAATTAACGAATATCAGTCGGGAGAATTATTTGCACATTTTATAGGTATCTAAATGTATTGTTATTATTATAAAAGTTATGCAAATCAATAATAATTTAAAAACAATAATATAAAAATGAGTTTTTTATAATTATAAATAATACATCTACAATTTACTTATTACATTAATAGTTATACTTGCATATAAAAAGTACTATTTAAAAATAAGTTGTTACGATTATTTCTAAATTAGTTACTTCGTGTGATAACGTCAACTTTCGCATCGAATGCAATTCGAACATTTTGGTTTAGGCATAAGTTTACCTGGTGCAGTTCGACAATCTCCCACTATTCCTATAGATATACATGATTTTTAAAAAATGAAATATCTTCCACGCAATTAACGTTTGTGTACCTGTTGTTTGTTTGCACGTCCGTACAGTGCAACGTCACGTGTGGCAAAGGACACCAACATCGGCAGGTGCAGTGCCAGAACAACGACGGCGCCATACTGGCGGCTGTGCAGTGCGATGGACTGGAAAAACCAGCGGCCGCGCAACCGTGCCGGACGTTCGTGCCATGCCCCAGACCAGCGACTGCGGCCACCACCACTACAGCGGCCACCACGACGACCACGACGGCAACCGCGACGACGACGGCGTACAGATGGAAGACGTCGCAGTGGTCGACTTGCTCGGTGACTTGCGGCCCTGGCACGCAGAACAGGCGGGTGAGCTGCCGGCGGCACGCGGCTGATCCGGGGGGCAGGGACACGGCGGCCGACGATCAGAGGTGCGAGGCGGCCGTGGGTCGATCACCGGCCGCGCAGAGACCGTGCCCGCAACAGCGGCCTTGCGTCTTCGCGACGTCGGTAGCGGCCACGGCTGCGGCCACGGCCGCAGCCGACGATTACGGCTGGCTGCCGGACGAGTGGCGCGAGTGTTCGCACTCGTGTGGCAAGAAGGGCCGGCAGACGAGGCGGGTGTTCTGCTTCCACAGGGCGGCCGCCAAGAAGGTGCGCCGCAAGCACTGCGACTGGGCAGCCCGTCCGCCCAGGAAGCGCAAGTGCAACCAGCGCCGATGTGCCGGTCACGCGTCCTGCGCCGACGTCCTGCACAAACAATCTCCGCAGGCCGCCGCCGCCCTGGAGGACAAGGATTACGTGATCAACGTGCTTGGGCGTAACGTGTCCATCTACTGTCACGGCATGCGGTCCGGCAATCCTGTCGAGTATCTGACCTTGTCCAAGGACACCGAAAACTATTCCGAGATCTACGAACAGAGGTAAGTTTCGACCGACAAAACGCGCGTCGTGCTTGTTTTATACTGATTGTAGGCTTAGTTAACGACTGAACGGACTGCTATAGTTTTAAGTACTACCTATTGTAGATAAGATAATGCCCTGATTAGGTATGGTAATAAATAATATTAGCATGAACACCATTTCTCCATTTCTCTTGGTATCAGAATATTATGTATTTGATTGATTTATGTATCAAATAGTGTAAGTATCTACTTTAATAATAATTCTAAAGTTTTCAAAATACTAGTATAAATAATATTCTAGATACTATGAAATAGTATTGAGGTAGTGAGGTACTAATCGATACACATCTATATAAAATACACTAGATAGTCAAAATAAAGTGTGAACTTTTACCGCTATGCCCATTTTGGCTATACTTAATCGTTGTTTTAGTAATTCCATGACGAGTTACACTGCCTAAGATGTACTATTCAACAATTAACAATAGTCAAGTATTCAAATTTTAAGCCCCGAGGGCTCAATAAATAATAATATAGTTCGACGCAACTTGATATTATGCTATTTTAAATAATAGTATACATATTTTATTTCTTTGATAACATATTGGCATGCTTTGATTCAGTTTCATATTTTATGGAAATAGATTAAAACTATCTGGAATAACCACCATAGAAGTGAAAACCAGAAAAATATTTTTTAACACTACCTGTATAGTGTCAGTTTTAAATGCTATTTATTTTTATTTTTATTACAAGCAATTGTATATTAGGTATGATTTTCGGAGTAACATGTATTTACTAAACATATGCTATACTTATTTCACAGAAGGCATAAACAGGTAAAAACATAAAAAGGTAACAACAGTATCTGTTAAAATATAATTTGCATACACTACTCCTGTTACAATCAAACTGCCGATCCCCGATTTGTGTTTTCACGGTTTTCGTTTTGTTTATATTTATGTAAACACGTTTAACTTGTATACCGAGTATATTCAAGCTATGTTAAATTGACACCACCACCGTAGGTTAAAGTTATGTGTAAACTTGTGCATCGGCTTCGTACATGTATTTGATAATAGTTTATTATCATACCTATTATATTATTATTATTGTAGTAACGTAATTTAATATAAAATACTTACATTATCGATCTAATTTATTTCATCGTGAACCCGATGGTTTTTGCTTACAGGCTCAAAGACCCGAGCACTTGTCCGTTCAACGGCGAACGCCGCCAAAACTGTCCTTGCGATAACGTGCCTGTGCCGTCTTCTGGACTGACTGTGTTCACGAAGATCCGTTTGAACATCACATCGTTAAGGGTCGATTGTAAGTGATCTACGTGCACAATATGAGAGCATTGTATTATATTAAAAGATAAATGATAATAATACACTAGTAAATCAATATTGTCATAAATCATGCATGAATTATGCATCTGCAGTGAAACATAATTTATTAATTTCGCGGAACATCGATTGTTCCAAACTTCCAACATTACTCTGTTTTCATAAATGAAATTACCTATAATGTAGTAATTCATGATTAAATAACTTCGGAACGTAAAATTATTATATTTCCGGATCAATATAGACAATTCTTTTTCATTCCCAAATGCGATATTGATAAATTTTATTATAATAAATATAATGTTTTACGATATTTCATTCCAACATGCTACTTTGGTTGAAGATTAACACCTACCAAAATATTACTCATACTGACATTCAAAATCAACTTTAACTTTTGAAAACTGTATAGAGTTCTTTCATAGAGCCATAGAAGGCTGTTTTCAGGTATCTAATTTATCTCCCCACGTTATTATATCTAGTTACACAGTTCTTAATATAATTTATTATTCTTATTTTATGTTGCAACTATTTATCCAATATAATAAACAATATTCTAAAATATTTATCTTTAACAATATTGAATCATTTTTTAGTTACATTAATTCTGGTTTAGTGTACGCTATTATTACTTCAGATTAAATGATTGTTTTTAACATAAATATGTTTTTGGGCTGGATACAAGATTCTGGCCGATTGTTCTTGTTATCATGGTTAATTATTAACAGAAACATATTTATGATTCATAGATTTTCCCTGTAGAGGACAAATATCGTGTAGAGTGCCATGAGTTTTTCTAACCGATTTTGCTTAACGCTTTGTTTATGGTTATAGAAACGGAAATACACAATTGTTATTCTAAATATCAATCTGTTATAGCATGCTAATAGATATTTTTCTCCCAGCACTATACCCAAAAGGTTATCTACGGCTCCTCAATTTTTATTGCAGAGGAAAAATATCTACTTTATCTTGGGAGGGGGTTACTGAACTTGTACGATTTTACACTTTAATTGACATTTTAATATATTTTATGAACTATAAATTATAACATAGACATCATTTTTAAGCATCCCTTGCTATATAATAGCAAGTAGGAACAGCTATATAATATTATATAATCATTTATCTGAATTATTTTTATCTGTTTTAACATTTTCGTTATTTGGACATTTACAGCAAAAGATTATACGTTCTCCAAACAAATCAAAGGCAAACCCGTACCATTTGGTGAAGCTGGTGATTGTTACAGTAACTCGAAGAGGGGCTGTCCGCAGGGCAGGTTCAGCATTGACTTATCAGGCACTGGCATGAGAATATCGCATGATACCACTTGGGTGGGCAAAGGGTCGAACACGTCGTTTTGGGTGAACAAAATAGAGGTAATGAAAGAACGACACTATTATTATATAATTATTATTTTTATCGTCAAGGAAATCTTTTCCTTTTTTCACTTTCAAAAATTCCTTCTTGCACTCGTCGTAAATACAGCGGGGATGATATTGCTTAAATTTACCTCGATTCAAACGTCACTTATATAATCCCGCTTTGAATCATATTATTTTAATGACAATGTTCACAATGTACGACTGAAGACCACGCATATATAACAGGTTGACGTGTTCTGTAGTCATTATTATGTTTTTACAAAAAAATTTAACTACACCGAGACAATCGACATTGTCAGTGTTCCCACACTGTATTATCCCAGCCTTAGTGTGTTAATAATAATTATTACACTCCCTATTTATATTGTTTATTGTTCGTTTTTTTAAATTATTTTTTCTGTTTTTATTTTGTTCTCGACTCACAATCCTTTCCATGCACACTGCCCGAGCACGTCTTAAACTGTATAAAAATAACATGAACTCTTAAAAATATTTACAGGAAAATATGAAAATAGCCGGCAGATGCGGTGGTTACTGTGGTACGTGTGTGCCGATGCAAGGGTTAATATTGGACGTGGTTACACCATAACAATACAATAATACTAAATATTATAATATATTGAATTAAATTAATTTAATATTATATTATGCGGCCAAAAGCGATCATGGTTGTACGAGGCGATCATCAAGCACAGTATTATTATTATTACTATTATATTATACGCATACCTATAATAATGTAATATTAATATGTTAGACAGACTTTACTCTGCTTACACGTATGGCGTTCACGATATTATTATTATTTATTATTATTATTACTATCGTCATGATTATAACTATTATGGTTTTATGACATCGATTACCAAAACGGTCTGGAGAAATGTAGACACGATTTGAACCGAACGAGTATAGGGCCATAAAACTAGGATATTTTATTTTTTTATTTACACAGTTCGTTTTTATTTTTTCATCATTACCAGCAAAGACTACGGTGTGCCATTCATATCCATTATTATTATTATTTTTTATTATTATAATTATTTTTACTTTTATTATTGCTACCTATTAACTATTATACTAAACGTGGATACTCGTGTTTTTATATTTCACAGTGCCAATACTTTTTGTTTAGCAATTAAATAATCATTATTGTTAAAGTTTTTTTTGACCAGCCTGTTATTTATACAATTATACAAAATACAATGCCGCTTCAAAATGGTCGGAATGTTTTTCCGTTTGACATTTTTTAAGTCAATTTTATCTGATTATATATAATTTTTAAAACTGTATGCACCATGAACATATTTATCCTCGGAATTAGAATACCGTTTTTTAGTACAATATAATATGGTATGAAAATTTAAATTAAAGATAATCGTAGATTAAGATAAATTTGTCCCTAATAACTATAATTATTAAGTGTATTAACTAAGTACCTAACTATAGTTTTGACGAGTTTCAATTGCATATAATTAAGTCATTTAAAGTCGGTCTATGTGTGTTCAATTTATTTTAATTTTTGTACATTTTCCATGTTATTAAATAGTATGTGTGCATGTGCCTATACCACAATAAAGAAAAGGCATATTATTTGTAATAATTATAAATGGTCAGTATTAAGAACGATATTTTAATCTGATATGAACAAAGACTTCCTTTTTATTTTATTTATTATTTTTATTAATTTTTTTTTTTGTTGATCTCTAGTCATAACATTTTCGTGGTTTTAACCACATTAACATAATATATAAATAGGTACATACATAGATATAATTATTTAAATTTATAGCTAAATTTTATACGTTTCCTTATACATAATTGATTTTATAATATAATGTATTTATCGTGCAAAATGTTATTTTTCCTTACATGCGTCCTTTTACAGGTTGAACAACAAATGTTTTTGTAATAGAACTGACGCCATCGTCAATATACTTAAACACTTAAATAATATACATGATAATAAGTCTGTAGTTACAATATAAAATGGGAATTGAAAATCAACTACACAATACTATTATGTACCTATTGGGCATGATTGGACATTTAGTTAAACTTATAAGACGTAACATATTATAGCGTAGCATTTCAGAGGTTGGGTATTGTTGCCCGGCGCCTTGTTGCCACGGATTTTAACGCGAATATTATGAATGTTTTTGAAAAATAAGAACGTTATTTATTATCAATTAGGCACCCATAAATATAATTTACCTTATAACACATAAATATAAATGCTTATAAATTGTTATATATTTTTGATTCTGAAACGGAGAGATTGTACTTATTGACTTTAAGCAATAATGAAAGTTTTTTATTTCCATATTAGAAAAAATGCTTAAATTTTGAACATTTAGGGTGGTTTTACTTAGCACATTGGATCTAGTAGGATCAAAAGTGAAAAATTCCCAGTTCTTCTCAAAATATTCAGAAATGACTAAAAAAAAATACGAATATTTATTACAATTTTAATAGTATATATTATAATATATATTATAAAAATAATTATTTAGTACCCTTCGTTATACCAAAATGTTATGAAGTACCATATTCGCTCAGAATCGTTTTTATCAATTACAATGATTTGTCGTTGAATTGAAATTTAACACATCCATTACACTGACCTACTCAATGGCTATGTACACTCGAGTTCTACTGCAGTTCTGTAGCTAGGCGTTTACCTGCTGCCCTTTTCTTTTTTGACATGCAACAAACAACATTACGATCTATAGATTTCATATTTTGTTAGGTGGGTACAATATTTAATATAGTATAATACGATTTGTATACAGTTTGATTATTTTTTTTTATTATATCACTTTTATCATTTTAAATACTTACATTAATAACTCATCAATTTGTATTGGCGCCCAGAAGAATTATTGTGGTTTATTGGCTAGATATTTTAGACCTGGATATTATATTAAAACGTTTATTATAATTAATAATTATTGGGGATCAAGTGAAGTTAAATGTACAGTGATTTTGTTGATGCACCATTTGATAAGCTTTTGAAGTAGGTAGGTACGACATCAATGCAACAACATATTTTTTTAATTCTGTATTAAGTACGCTCAGTCAATTTTTACGCTTCAATTATAAATCTATTCAAATTGTGATATTTACAATTTTATAGATGTCTGTATAGGTAATGTACAGTGTATATACCTAATATATTCTAGATTTTAAGCATTAAATTAGCATTATAATAAAGACTTAAGTAGGTATTTTAGACTTTCATATTAAACTATTTTTTTTTTTTAATTGTACTAATATGTGATCCAAGGGTGGAACCAGAACTGTGCACGGAGAGGGCACTCAAATTAAAAATATTTGAACCATGCTAATTTTTACTAATTAACGATGTTATGTTTTTTTGTTGAACAAGCGGGTTTGTTTCCAGATCCGATTGGATCCGCACTCGATATAATACATACATTATTTTTATGTACAATTAGTTTCATTTTTTGTTAGTTGTTAAATTTGTCCATGTAATGGATTTAATTTAATTTAAATGTAATTTTTACTCACCATAGTTACACTTAAATCGTTACGATTGTATGTACTAATAATTCATGGCGCCACACTGATTTGAGCAGGGGGTAGATTTTAAGCATATTTATTGCACCTTACATACCTATTAGCTATAAGCATATTTTGTCGATTTATTTGGAGTGGTTATGTTAGGTTAGGTTATATAGTGTCTTCAACAGTTAACATATTATGCGCAGATAAAATTGCATAGGTAGTAGTGTAGTAAGGTTTATGGTATATAACAATGCGTTTTTAGTTAAACAAAGGGTTTTTATTGGAATGTTTGGATATTTGTTTACAGTACATTTTTTGGCAGAGTCATAGATATGCCATATGGGCTTAAGATGAAGTAAATATTTATCAAGAACGCATGGTGAGTTTAGATGATTTAGATAATAGGTTATGCAGCAAGTGTTTTTCTGTTGTTTCATAAGTAAGTACGTAAGATTCTCCTTTTGTGTAAATGTGGGGACCAGATAAAACTTTTAGCGAATGTTCTTTCTGTAGATATTTAGTTTATCTGTATGGATTTAGTATTATTTAGTATATTATTGAAGTTTAAGACGTTAGTTCGAATTGAAAGTTTAGATGATGGTTTCTATTTTTAATAAAAATATTACCCTTTTATTTATTTTATTTAATTAACTCTGAAGCACAAGAATTATTCGAATTTCACTCACCTAAAATATTATAATAATATGCTCACTGCACACAGCTGGTATTTAAGTGTAACTTTAATAAGTTATAAACCTTAGATGCATCCCGATACAAGTAATGTCTTTGAAACAGCCTTTTGAAGTATATACATAGTCGTTTTACATTAACCCATCACTTTTGACTTGATAGAAACAGGTGACGCGTTTCGTCTGATGATAAGTGATGACGCTCTCAAATATATTCATACTTTCTACATTCAAAAACAATCCACATTTCGTCACACTGTATACAACATTTTTCGAATTATTGAAAGGTGATGAGAAAAGGGTTTGAAGGAAAATCGTCGAGTATCGTCGCATCCGATGATCGGTGGATAAGCCATCAGCGGCCAACGATTTCTTTAAGACAGACCATAGATAAGTACAAAACTAAAATAACAATACCTATAGAGTATAGATATATGTTTGTCGGGCCAACCAAAAATATCTCAGTTACCCGCTGGCAGTTATCGCATAAGGTCGAATCGACTGTGGTATCAAGTCTGTCGCCTAGACCGTGGTATAAACTTGGCCACCGCGGTATATGTTGTATACTGAATACTTGCGAGCCTGCTGCTGAAAATCGAAATATCTTTTGTCATATTTGGTCAATATGGTCACATAGTCAGTCAGTTGTATAATAGAATACGTCCTACCCATACATGATCGTCACCGGCTACACTGCGCTGTCGAGCACTTTTATTTTTGATCAATCGTTTGCGTCCGATTGTGTTTAAAACCATACTGTAGTTTAGAAGTATGTACGTCTTATATCTAAATATATTACAAATTATCTTTTGGAACCTTGATAAAGTAAGTGCGTTTTAAAAAATGACATACGCCTACCTATCATAGTATTATGGTAATAACGGTGTAACATCTGTTGTATCAATAATACTAATACTTGTATGGTAATATCCTTAGTACCTACACTAATAACATTGTAATTTGTAATAAATGTTAGTTAATATTATGTTTTTGTTGTTAGAATATTATTGTTACCGTTACCGTAAAACTGCCAATGTCAATATTAAATATAGGTACTTCAATGATATGTATCCATTATTAAACACTTGCATCAAAGTGGAATCTAGCAAAGTTATAAGTCAATTGTATCTACTATCTATGGTCTATTTTTAATTGTAATTATTAGTTAATTGTTTACACCTGAATCTTTAGATGTATTAATAACTAGAGGTTCTACTCCTAAAATCCTATCTTCACTCCGATTTCGATCCGACTTAACTTACTTAATCAGTATTCCACATCTCCTTATTTGCAGCTGGGAGAGCCCCTCTATGGTAAGTGGGTGGTCACAACAAAATGATTTCCATATTGGAATAAAGTAACCTATATAGTATATAGTATATGTTTAATGCATTTAAACATTTTTGCAAGTTGAATATTCGATTTCTTTTTTAAGTGTATGTTGATAGTATTTTGTATGTTATTGATATGTTGGATATGGGTTTTTCCCACCGGTTGTAAGATGTTTAGACTCCACAACATATTATCATATCATATATTATATATTTTAGTATTATTTTATACTTTACACACCCCATTTAAATACTTTTGTTGGTAGTAGTTGTTTCTACAGTTAATTTTTCTTGTTCAAAATGTATGTACCATTGTCCTGCCAACAATTTATTATGAACACAACCTAAAAATAATATTATAAATGTGAAAAAATTATTTTATTACATAGACAGATAATTAATATAATAATTAAAGTATTAAATTAAATAATAGGTAGTGTGTATTGTATATAGAATAAAATTATTTATTGTGTTCTTTTGCGCCATCTACCTACGCGATATTCAACTAAATAATCGGTTTCTATAATCAGTGGGCTTCCTAAATATAAAAAATAACAATACATCCACTACCACTAGATGGCATGGTAGATTCATCATACACCATACAAAAACATAGTAGGTACTTCAAATTTAATAGCATAATATTATATTTTTAGATTGTTTTATTATTTCAGCCAAAATAATAATGACCGTTTCCGCCAAGAAAGAATCAAAATTTGATTCCCGTTTTCGTCAAAGGGACGTTACCATAAAATATTTTGGAAACCAATAATTTCCATTTTTTACAATATAATATGTACCAAGCATGGAATAATATGTATTATGTATACATTTATTTCCTTTTATTATTAGGTTGTAGGTTAGTAAATTAATTGATTCTATTCATTGTCTAAATTTTGAAAATGTTTTATAAGACCTTATAAGTAGTTACCCATAGGGAGGTACGAAATTCATTTTGAATACATTGTACGTTGGTTCGTAATCTTATAAGTTATAGTTTTACCATTTTTTGTTTTATTTTGTCATATTATTTTGATTTGAGAAAAAGTTTTTTAATATATCATTTTCTCTCTGAATACAAGCTTAAAGTTATCACAATTGATGAATATTGTTTTAGGGCTGTAGGTTATGCTACATGGGCGTCATAAAAAAATGTATCATTGATTTTACTTTAATATCATTAATTTATGATAAATAGTAATAATTTATAATACATCATTATCTTGCACCTAGGCGATCGAAGCCAGATGCACAACTCATAAATTTTGATGTAGCTAGAATTACATTGTCCTCATTATCTACGTACTAATATTAGTAATACTTAAACACCCAAATGTTAAGTTAATTTTTGGTTTATTGGAGATTTTATTCCTCAACTTTTACACCGGCAAATAATAATAATTATTATGTAAGGTACGAGTTCGCCGTTATTATTGTTCATTACGATTAAAATGTTTACACTTATATGTAGTAAAATTCCACAACTGTATGATTGACATACAGAAATACAGTATTGTAATATCGATGTCATGACAAAACAATATCTACCTAACATAAATTATTTAAGGACTGCGACCACTGGCGAAAGCCTTATATTATGTTTTATGTATATGTAGCCATTTAATAAATTGAACATGCCCCCCCCCCTAACAAGACTCAATACGTACATTTTTTTTAATGACCTTTCTGTGAACTTTGTAACAAATGTGGCGAAAGTATTGGATGTTTACAGTTAAACTGAAATAACTTCAGAAATATTATCTAAAATCGAACATTTAATATCTATGTATTATAATTCATAATATCTAATTTGATATGAGTTTATTTTTAATCTAAAGCAATAAGATAGGTGATGATTATTAAAATAAAGCATACAAGGTAACAAAATATCTTTTTTTCACTATTATCACTGTTATAAAAACAGTATTTATTAATTATTTTCAATAAAATAATTTCCTACAAAATAACAAATTACATTTTGTCATTTTGGTGGACCATTATTTAAGGGTTTCACACAAGAGTATAGAGCTTAACATAGATATTACATTTTATTTGTATACTATAGTGGGTAATGGGTATAATTGTAAAACCAGAATAAATGAAAATTATTGTTGTCAATATTTAATCCATCTATTGGAATTAAAACCACACGAACTATAAGATAACTAAGGATCTTAAAGGATAAGTTTTTTGATCGGCAATAAAACGTGACCACTATACTGAGACAGAGCGTTATACGAATTGATTTATTTTTGTATCAAGGCACATGCATTGAGTCACACACAGTATAATTTTATATTAAATACAATATCATGGTTTTTGAATTATTTTTGCATGCTGATTTACTGCTACTGTTAATAAATACCTATTAATACTCCCAAACGTGTGATTTACACGATTTTTTCAGTCGTATGTACTTACAGATTATTGTATGATTATTATACATTATTAATATTAGTTATGTGCATATTTACCAAGTACACTGTTGGTGTTTTCAGTTATTATGTTCTTGATTTTATGGACAGTAGTTGTATTTAGTATAAATTATATATTAAGTGCATATTAAATAGGTGGTAAATCTCAATATATTCTAATTATATTTGAGTTAATCATTATTTTATTGTTATATAATGATTTTAAATTAATCCCCTAAATGAAAACTTATTTTTTACTTGATAGTAAATAAGAAGTATTTAATGGCTATATATAGTTTTAAAAATATCCATCTAACTTTTAATCAAATCTTGAAGCAGAGTTGTTCTATTTCAAGATGGATTGATAGTTTTAAATTATTTACACAATTTTTGTTAGGTATATTTTTGGGTTTCGTATAATTTAATGATTATTTATTAAAACATATTTTTTCCAGTTGACCATTATTTTTATTCTTTTTGATTCACCTCTTCTGTATTTTACTTCTAAAATTTTGCTTATTTATTTGTCATATCCACGTCTTATTCATTTTCTCTCTGTATTAAACATAGGTTCACATTTAAGTCCAAAGGATTTTGTTTTCAAAACTATTAGGTTCCTACTCCATTCTTTTAGTTGTAGGCCATAAATCGTTGTCATGTTTCACCTTGTTAGTGTTGGGCGTTGGTAAATCAATGTAAGTTCAGATAAATACGAGAATAAAAATAAAAAATGGAAATATATAACATCCAAATTTAATTATTTTTATTATTGAAAGGGTTTTTGTTTTATATATTCCAATGGGTTTAACTATTAGACATTTTGTTTCTTTTACAAACGTTTATGTTAATATGTGGTTCACTTCACTACACAAGTATTCCGGTTGATTGAATATTCTCTGGCAATATAAACCACCTGCAGGGAATAGTAATTTTATTGTTTCACTACCGGAAAGACGAGATGAGAAGAATTAAATTAATTGTTGACTGATTATTGGGATGTTTCAAACTTCAAAGAATGAAATGATAGCAACAAATTTCTAATTTTGTCTTTAAGTGGTAAAATTACATTAAAAATCAAAGGTTCACTGGTAAGGTAGTATTAAATGTATTAATCTAAATGTCTGGAAGAGGGCTATAATGTTTTTTTGGAACATTTGTTTTAATATGGTCGTTTTATCATTACCTATCTTAAAATCCTTCAATTTTTTACATGGAGGGTTGTTTGTGGTAGAAAATTATATGTAGATGATATTAGATTTGGAGGTGGTAATTCTAAGATTTTTAGAATTTTTAAATTATCAAAAAAGCATTAAATATACGAACAAATCATTAAATATATGAAAAAACTGGAATTTTTAGTCGATGCGTACAGTAAATTGTTGTTGATAAAATTGATTGTATTTATTTACTCTAAAATGTAACACAAAAAATATTTATATGAGAGTTATATACACATGACTTAAACCTAAAAAAATATTGTATACACATTTTTCCTATATATTTTTTGGCGAGTAAAAAAGTTTGAAAACTGAATACAAAGGTTCCTTTTGAATTATTTTTACAAAAACCAAAAAATCTCAAAAAACCACTATCATATTTTTTTTTATCGAGATTCCAAGTTAAAATGTTGACAAAAATGTTTATTTAAATTAAAAATGACGATTTTACTTTCTTTCAGTAGATATTTAATATCCCTGTACAAGAATGGCATTTTTAGTAAAAGGTGTTCATAGTAATTTCCTACAGAAACTATTATAGTCCAGAATGGTTGTTTATTTTACAGACGTAATTTACTTGACAAGAGTGGTTGATGTATGAAAATCCGAACACGTACTTATTCTACAGATATCTATTATCATAGGATATTAGGATTGTTCCATTTTTACTTGTTCTGTTACAAACCTTTAACCAAGTATATAAAGCGAATAGATATTGCTTAGGTACATATTATATCAAAAAATGTTCAGATTTAGAGTAATGATGAATTAGTGATTTCATATCAAAACAGAAGATATTGATTTAAAGTGGTTTAGAGCATATTTTTATTTTCTACACTTAAACATTTGCTCCCAGTTATACGCCTGGACTTACATTAAAAAATGAATTTATTTTGATATAAATATGAAATAATGTCCAAGAGATTGGAAAAAATTTAAGAAATACAATGGTGTTTCACAATAATTTATCTCAGATCGACGAATTCATAACCACATTACAGTATGAAAAGTTGCCAACTACAATACATTCAATAAAAAA